ATAAAACATTTCTACACATTCCTCCCACATAAAAAAGACACATTATAGTGCTTTACTGTTTCAGTAGTACAGTACTATTACCATTTATTTTACAGCATTTAAAACCTTTATGAAAATGCATGCTACAGATAGAAAATATTTTAGTTGACTTAGTTTATTAATTACACTGCAATTGAAAAAACACCCATTTTAAACAGACATAAAAAAAATTATGACTTTTTAAATTATTACCAAGGACCTGTTTGTTTTCCTTTATTGCAGAAAGAAAAACACAAAAATTGTATTTAAAACTTTCAAATAAAGAATTATATTTATAATGATTTCTTATCACAGTGCAGCGGTTAGCATGTTCGCCTCAAAGCAAGGTCACTGGTTCAAGCCTTAGCTGGGTCAGTTGGCATTTCTGTGTGGAGTTTGCATGTTCTCCCCGTGTTTGCGTGGGCTTCCTCCGGGTGCTCCAGTTTCCTCCACAAGTTCAAAGACATGCAGCACAGGTGAAATGGGTTAACTAAATTGTCCATAGTGTATGAGTGTGTGTGTGAATGAGTGTGTATGGATGTTTTCCAGAAATGGGTTGCAGCTGAAAGGGCATCCGCTGTGTAAAAACATATGCTGAATAAGTTTGCGGTTCATTCCACTGTGGCAACCCCGGATTAATACAGTGACCAAGCCAAAAAGAAAAAGAATGATTTATAAGGATTTATAATGCTTCTGTCACAATAAATGCTAATTTGTTTCCATAACACAGCAGCAATTGGTGTATATGTGGATGTCTGATGAATGTACATGTGGATGTCTGATGAGTGTAGATGTGGATGTCTGATGAGTATAGATGTGGATGTCTGATGAGTATAGATGTGGAGGTGTGATAAGTGTAGAAGTGGATGTCTGAGGAGTGTAGATATGGATGTCTGAGGAGTGTAGATGTGGAGGTCTGTGATGTGTACTCTCACTAACGCTTAGCACTACTACTTGATTCAGAAAAATTTCCAATTCAAGCAGCATATTCCTACGTGCTTGCCTCTCTCCAATTTTAATTCTGCATCTTTCTTCAATGAAACTCCTTACTGTATTAATGTTAATACGTTCGTCAATGGCCTTTATCCAGTCAACCATCAGCCAATCTCTTTCTACTTCAGCCAAAATCCACTCAACTGTCAGGTTCTTTAATGTATTTTTTGTTTTTCTGTTAATTCTCACTTCTTTCCTAATATATCTATATATTGAGATTCTCCCCAAAAGTGTGTTTCAGAACCCGCAGTTTCAATCAAGGTCTTAGCTTTCTTTTCTAGCTTTTGTAGAAAAAAATTGTGTTTCAAAAAACTTGCCGATCAAAATCCATTTCTATAATTTATTTTTATTTGTTTACTTTAAAAAAATTTTTTTTTTAACTTCAAGTGGGAAAAAATCAAAGACCAAAGGAAATATAAGAGAAAGAAAAGGGAATTAGTAAATAAGGGAAGAAAATAGAGAAAAAGAAAAGGATAAAGAGAGGGTGAGAGAAGAAATGTGTATTTTATCGCGATCTATAATTATATCTCTTCATTTTTAGGCATTAATTGTCTCAATTCTTAATTTTTATCGCTAATTATACATTTTTCAGAATGGCCTAATAATTTACACATCCAATATTTTGGTGGATTTTTCATTCTAGGTATTCGCTTTGGTTTCATCCTAATTCCTTACTTTTATTTTATTTCATTTCTCCATAACCCCTGGCCCGGGCCTTTACAAATAACACGTAAATCCACATCCGTTGAACATATAAGTAACAAATTCAGATACTTGGTCCACCCTCAGCGACCATTCTCACAGAGACCAAAAATATTAAAGCAAATATGATTACCTTATTTAAGGGCCATTTTTGGTCTCTGAGTGAACTGCCGCCAAAGGCTACTGGCACCACTTTCGATGTCCTCCATCCAGCACCACGTTCATTGAGCGCCAAATATGTTGTGGAAAAAAGATTCTGGTCAGCAAAAAGATTCTAGTCTCTAAGTCAAACTTTTAAAAAAATGACAAAGTCTGAGATCTCCGAAATCTTTAGACGTAGCAGTTTATTGTTACAGCATCAGTAACAACAGAGACAGGTCATTAGAGTGTCTGCTGAACATAGGCTTGCACACAGTTTAAATACATTTCTGTGTCTTAATACTCCATCCAAATTTACACATTACACACCTCCATCAGCTTCTCCGCTAATGGGATTTTAAATCTCTTATGTCCCCACCACCAGTAGAATCTCAGGGTCTTTCAGGGGTCTTACCCATGTCCAGTTAAGGTCTTTCCTTCCTGTTTCAAAAGTGATGACTCAGCCAAAATACAATGCTTAACAATATATCTTGTTCACTGTCCACTGAGCTGTCAACTGAAAGTTTATCTGAAGTTTATAAGTGCTCATAATTCTTTAAATGTCAGTACAAGTGAGTGTGGGCGCACTTGCAGGTGGGCTTTATCATGAGTTACAGAACAGAACGCAGAACAGGTGTCCTTTTGGCCTTGCTTCCATAAATCAACCCTCATTGTGACATTAATGCTGCTCTTCTAATTTATCTTCTCATCTCTGACTGCATTTGCACAGAATGACTTTTTTATTTACCAAAGCACACATACCTGATAATAATGCCACAGGTATGGGTAATAGTATAATAGATAATAATACTGAAATCTCTCAAACTAGCATATGAATGAGAGTAATATTCATCAGAAATTCATCAAGACACAATGAATTTCCCAACACAATCCGTTAGCGTTCTCTACTGGACAGATTTGTTTAATGCTTTGTAACACTGAGCTTTTTAACATCCTTATCCGCTTGTTAAGTGGTGACGTGTTTGTGACATATGCAATACTGTTTCCGGGTCCAAGCCGCCACTCATTTGAGTGGAGAAATCATTCGTTTATGATCACGTTTTATTCCTATCACACATTAAAGTTAATTTTATATAAAATCATAGTGTACAAAACAATCTCTGGGCTTGCTGCATAACAAATACCAAAATTTTAACAATTTATTAAAACATAATCACTTTCTGGCCATCGGATATTAGGCATGGACATTTATAATGCGATCATGATTTTCGAAAGTATTAAATCGCTTTGTAAACGTTTATTATTACCATTTCATGAGCGCTGGGACCCGGATGCCACTTCGCGTGACGTCACACATAACAAGCGGATAGACCAATGACGGATAGACATGTTCTCACTACTATCAACCTTTTTTTAATTTTGATTTATTTATTTATTATTGCCTAACAATAATTGTCATACATTAAACCCAAGCCAAAAGTTTTCTAACTATTTGGAACAGGTGACTGAGGAAGCTATTTTTAGTGGGTTTTAAAGTTAGCACCACACAATTATAAACATTGTAAACAGACAATGCAGATAAATTTTCAATATTATATTTAATAAACCTTTCACAACATCAAATGGTGAGTTGTTTTCCACAATTGTTGTTTTGTTTTTAGAAAGTTTCTCCCACTCTTTTATTAAATTAAAGTTTATATAATGACATTTAAAATATTTGCTAATCCATTTTGTTGTTTAAAATGTCTTTTATATATATATATATATATATATATATATATATATATATATATATATATATATATATATATATATATATATATATATATATATAAATGTGTGTGTGTGTTTTCTGCAAATTCAAATTATTTGAATAATTGACCAGTCACTATATTTGAAACATTTGTTGTTTAAAATGTCTTATTTATAAATGTATTGGTCTGCAAATGCATATTTTTAAATGTAATTTAGTAGTGATGGATCATACTTATATGAATATTTATCACACTTGATTCATGCATAAATTTATTTTGTTTAAAATATCTGCAAATGCTGATTATTTTAATAATTTACCAGATATGGATCATATTGTAATTAATTACATTTTAAACATTTGCAAATCAATTTTGTTGTTTAAAACATGTTTTTTTTTTAAATATTGTGCTCCAAGTGCTAATTATTTTAATACTTTACCAGTTATGAATCATACATTTGCAAATGAGTATTTTTGTTGTTTAAAATCTCATATAGTTCTGCAAATTTTCTATGAATTGTCCAGTTGTGCATTATATTGTTCATGTATTTTAAATATTTGCAATTCAGTTTTGTATTTTGTTGTTTAAACTCTTTCTATTTCATGTAGATGAAAACATTGTATAAAATGTATAATTTATGGTTCATACTATTTGTGTTTTCTGAACAATAAACGATGGAAAAAATTTATTCTTTGGTTTGATTATTTGTGTTTAGGCATGTTAATGCAGACATTTGAAGAACTTTCTGGGGACGTCGTGCTAACGTCCCGGGAACGTTTCACAAACCGGCAGGGGATGTTCCAGAAATGTTCTGCAAACATGCAGATAACATCCCGGGAACATTCTGCAAACCGGCAGGGGACGTCCTGGGAATGTTCTGAGAACCTGCAGGGAACGTTGTATTAACGTCAAGAAAACTTTCCTGGCTAACTAACAGGGAATGTTAGGACGTTCTGGAAACCTCCAGGGAACGTTCCAAGAACCATCGTTTTAAAATCATACCTTTGTGGAGAATAGTAGCATCTGTGTGCAACTCCAATATGAACTAAGGATAGCTGATGTTGGGCTTCATCTTCTTTTATTTAAAGGTAACTGTGCAGTTACTTATGCAGTGAAAATCTGTTTGCTAATTGTACACACATGAACACATTAGTGCATTGAATGACTTTATGTTTTAGTGAGTTAAACTAGGTTTTTGTAAAATGAGCATAGTATCATTTATCAGTATAGTTTCAGTATATATTGTTTTATCGTTGTTTTACCATTGTTTTATCGTTTTACCATTGTTGTAACATTGTTTTACTATCGTTTTAATATGGTTTTACAATCAATTTACTATAGTGAACAGTAGTTTAACTATGGTTTTAGTATGCTTTTACTATGGTTAAACTGTAGTAAAACCTGTCACCATAGAATGAATGGACAAAGTCTGAATCCAATTGCAATTGATTTAATGTGAACAAATAAAGGTGGAGATAATTGATGCAGCCAGCACCAGAACCAGAGAAAATGCAGCCACAGAACAAATCAGATCAGAACATATCAGGGAGTCCAGGTGAACTGCCGTGGATCCTGGCGAAACAGAGAAAAGAACACACGCACAAGTAACAAATTAGTGTTACTAGTCCACCTAAAACATAAAAAATAATGTTTAACTTCAAATAAGCTATAATAAAAATAATAATTGTGCCAATTAATAACAAAGTTCATCTTATATAAGAAGGTCATATAGATTTTATTATTATTATTATCATCATTATGTCAGCAACAGCAGTGGAAGCTGATATTGAAGGCTGAATTAACATAGTTTAAACGTTATGCTAAAATGAATGTTCACAAACGCACTTTCCAAATGTTGATTCAAAACTACTGTGTATGTTGTGCAAGACAACAACACAAACACATGCACACAAACATACCTCATCCTCACATGGATGCGTTATATTTTAATGGCTTGAAGAAGGCTGTCTTACTTCTAAGAACTCCTTGAGATCACACACCATGCTTTTCAACTCTGAAAAAGGGATTCATAAACGTGTGTATTAGATTCTCAATTCAACCAGAAAACCAACTTTTTTTATGAGAAACTTTGTCTGTGGCGTTTACTCAATGCTCAATTGGTACTAATGGGCCCAAAGTGTGCCAAGAAAATACCCCTCACATCATTACACCACCACCAGCCTGAACTCAAGGCAGGATGGATCCATGCTTTCATGTTGTTGATGCCAAATTCTGACCCTACCATCCGAATGTTGCAGCAGAAATCGAGACTCATCAGACCACACAAGGTTTTTTCAATCTTCTATTGTCCGATTTTGGTAAGCCTGCACAAATTGTAGCCTCAGTTTCCTGTTCTTAGCTGACCTCAAGGTTCGACATGTTGTGGATTTAGAGATGCTCTTCTGCACACCTCGGTGGTATTGAGTTGTTATTTGAGTTACTGTTGCCAGCTCTAACCAGTCTGGCTATTCTCCTTTGAACTCTAAAATTAACAAGCCATTTGCACCCACAGAACTGCCGCTCACTGGATATTTTCAGTTTCTCAGACTATTCTCTGTAAACTCTAGAAATGGTTGTGCATGAAAATCCTAGTAGATCAGCAGTTTCTGAAATACTCAGACCAGCGTGTCTGGCACCAACAACCATGTCACTTAAATTCCCTTTCTTGTTGAGATTAATTGCGGAAGCTTTTATCACAATCTGTTTGGCCTTATTTCTGCCAGATTCTACGAAATTTCTTATAGTGATATTAATGAAAATGATCTGATTCAGTATTTTTTTTACAATAACAGTAAAAAAAACAACACCACTTTCTGTGTTTTAAGATGTCACTATTGAGGAGAACAGTAGTTGCTTTACTTAGGCTCTTTTATTTAATTTCTAATGTTTGTCTTTTTGCTTGTCAAATAGTGTATTATGACAAGCACTGCATAAAGAGACCGAATATGACTAGGATAATTGATTCTGTGGTGATTTAGTTACTGATCAAACCAGTAAGATTAAGTTTGAATGATGTTTTATCATGAAAGTAACACTGTGTATCAAGAGAATGGAACTTAGCAATACATTTATCAAGTTACAAAACGCACCGTACATCTAAAACACACACATACATAAATAATCAACTTATTGTTGAGATGAATACATTGACTCTTGACGTCTGTGTCTCTAAATTGATTCAGATGCTCAATGTGTTCTAAAAAAATTCTAAAACAGTTGAGGTTCAATCTCTTAAAAAACACAGATTTTTGTCTCTTGAATGATAAACAAGATGATTAAATGTTTAAAAAACGAGCAATTGCTGCATACTTTAAATTTCTGTCCAGAGAGGTCATGTTTTGATCCTTGATTGGTCTCACTCAGTCAAGTGATAAGATTTTGCAGGTCAGAGTTCACAAAGCTTGAACTTTACAACGCAGTGAACTGCAAAACTTAATGCACAAACTGGCGTTTCTGGTCCGACACATTTGCGTGCGTATGAATGGAAGTCTATGGGTAGAAAAGTGCATTGTGACTGCTGCTTAACTCTCACAAGATTAGTGCAGTGTGCACTGCAAATTTTAGATAGTAGATTTAGACTATCTTTAGAATTAACACTCCCTCAGAGTTTATATGGGAATGACTATAAAAGTATTAAAAGTGACACTTTTGAAGGAGTTAACATTATCAAAACTCAGAGAGTGTAAATTAGCAAACTCTTATCTGTTAAATTTATGAAAAATACCAGTAACTGGGGTTGCCAAAATGTTTCCATAAAAAAATACGGAAGTTATAGGACTGTTTAAATTTACAGAAAATAACCACATTTCATAAACTGATACAATGTTCAGTTCACAAAATCGTAGTTTAGCGCACAAAAACGTAAAGTCAATAAATGTATTAATGTGTGTTTACAACTGACAAACATATTTTCACTGCATTAGTAACTACAGTTACCTTTAAACAAAAGATGCAGCACAACATCAGATATGCTCAGTCCATCTTGGATTTGAACACAGATACTACTATTCTCCATAATGGTGACACAAAAAACGTTTTGCTGTTTTTTTTTTTTTTTTCCTTTCTTGATTTTACAGAAAAATACCGGCAGCTGTGATTGCCAGTAATCTACTGTTCTAACATTTTACATTCATAAATTCAATCTACAGAATATTTCTGTTAAATACATTCCACAGTCTGTATTTTTCATTAAATACAGCGGGGCTTAAATTTTACTCAATTTAGAGAGGGAACAAATACACTCTGAACTGAGTACATTTTACTCAGAGGATTTTGCTGTGTATCAATTAAACTGTATTATAAGAAATATAGCCTGCAATCAGTAAGTTTACCACTTAAGCTGTCCAAATGTTGACGTAGCCGTCGGTTGTCTTCCTCCAACTTCTTTATCTTTTCTTTACAAGCACTGCATTTTGTGCATTTCCGTGCACAAGTACTGTCCTAGTCAAACAAAGACAATGTGGTTATACACACTGTTGCAATGATTATTGCATCATAACTAAGATTAAGGTCACTTTGAAATTATATTCTAAATCTACAAATGAAATATTAAAATTAGTACAAATACTTAAAAAGCATTGCATTAAACAGTATTGTCACCATAGTGCATACCTTTTTCTTTTTTATTATACTTTCCGGAGGCTGTTCATCTGAGGAAGATGAACGCTTCTCCTTTTTACGACCGTCAGCTCCACTCTCATTCCCCATTAGCTGCTGTCGAGGTTTTAGCAGACTTTGCTCGTTGTCTGTTAGAAACAGGTTGTGAACAAATAAATATGCACCTCAAGGAACAATTGTTGGTCCCACATTAAGGTGCAGTAGATGATTGTCTTTCAGAAACATTTTTTTTTTTGTTGTGCTGGTTGAAAGTCTCTACATGACAATAGTAATAATGATTAAAGTAAATTATATAATGTATTTATCTATTTTTATATTCTGGGTAAGGCACAAAACTAAAAAACGTTCATCCAAGCTTTGCTACAATTAAATAAAATATGAATAAGTAACCCCTCTGTAAGCAAATGTAGATTTGTACCAGCAGTGCTCATCTCTTCACGCAGATCCGCCATTAGCGCGTGCTAGTGATGTGCGGATCGATACTAAAATATCGATATCTCCGATAACAGGTTTGTATCTTCTAGAATCGATTATGTTATCAAGATCGATATTTCAATAAATTAGAGCAAATAGTTGGAAGTAGAAATACAGTGGAAAGTAACCACAATTACCCCAGTTCATCTGAATAATGTCAACTTAGTCGGACTACTTGTTCTTCTGCCTGCAAAGTCACGTGCGTAATATAGCACTGTACAAGTGCAGATCACGCTAGCTAGCCAATCAGTCCGCTGGCCTGGCACCTATGCCTGGCACACGCTGTCATATGGGTGACTGCAAGCTAAATTGCAACCCAGTCTCACGGCAGTTCGTGAAATACGAAATTTAATCTATTGATTCGTGTTCATGGGCACGAATTTCCCTCTTTTTTGTGTCACTCTGCACGAATTTCCATCCAATGTATTTTAATAGGAAATAATTTTCGTGTCTCCAGCACGATTTATTTTGCCATAGGATACCCGATGCTACGCTTTTTAAAAATTATTTTTATTAAATATTATAGCCACAGGGTACCAGACGCAGTATAATTACATTGTTGACACAGTACCAAACGCAGTATTTTGATTATTATTAATATTGACACAGGGTATCAGACGCAGTATTTTGATTAATATTATTATAGCCACGGATACCAGACGTATTTTGATTATTATTATTATTATTATTATTATTATTATTATTATTATTATTATTATTATTATTATTGACACAGGGTAACAGACGCCGTAATTTTGAAAATATTATTATAGTCACAGGATACCAGACGCAGTATTTTGATTATTATTATTATTGAAACAGGGTACCAGACGCATATTTTTGTTTATTATTAATATTATTTATATTATTATTATTATTATTGACACAGTGTACGCATAATTTTGATTATTATTATTATTATTATTATTATTATTATTATTATTATTATTATTGACAAAGGGTACCACACGCAGTATTTTGATTATTATTATTATTGACACAGGGTACCAGACGCAGTGTTTTTTATTCATTTTTATTTTATTAAATTTTTTCCATAGGATAGCAGACGCTGTATAATTTTTATTTATTTATTTATTTATTTATTTATTTATTTATTTATTTATTTATTTTCGCAGACGCTGTATAATTACCAATAGAGTGGGGGAACTATGATGCCACTTTGTAGGCTAATCGGCTGCTAGCATAAAACTGGTTCTCTCGTGAATTTTCCCATAGGCTTTTCGAAGTTTGCAAATAATAAGCTCTGTGTTCAAACACTGTTCATTACACTTACACGTTTTGTTCAGCCGGAAAATCCTCAGATGAAAATAAAACTTTGAGCACTTTTGGATAAATGCAAACGCAGGAATTGAAAAGCTAACATTAAGCTATAAACGGACTACAGTGCCTTCAGGGCGCGCGCCTGTGACGTCAGCACCACCCTGCTACAGACGACTTTTTCAGCTTATTTTCAGAAACAATGTCTATGACAAAGAGTTAAATTTATATTATAACCCACATTATATTATAAATAAAATTGCAAAAACACATAGACCTACGTGCCTTTTATATAGTTATTACCTTTTTTTTTTTTTTTTAACTATTTACGTTATAAGAGAGGCCGGCAAACATGGACATGCTACAGGTGTGGAATAGCTTTTCTCAGTGTTTTGTCTAATCATTTTGCAATGTTTTGTATGCCATCAAGCATTTTCTTCAATAACTTTCATCGAAAATTATGTAGGAAAACATGGATGTTGCCATGACCAATACATACATGTACCGTCAACTTGTTGAAATTGTAGTGTTATTTAATAGATGTTTGTGTATTGTTTCTGTCTGCATTGTGATATATTTTTCATCATTTTAGAGATGTTTGAAAGATAGGTTTTGTATTTGTTCAATCAGTAAACAAGCTTACAAATGTTTTTTAAAAAGTGAAATGATTAGAATTAGATTGTTGAATGCCATTAAGCTGTTAATTATGTTTACTAATTAAATAATTAAATGTAAAATGTTTAGAGGTAGATCTTATACAAAGTACGCAGAGGTGCAATTTGAAATATTATTTAAAAATTATTTTGTAAAGTAAATTGAATAAATTTAAACAATTAGAATTTTCTGCATTGGTTTCATTTTTTATTCAATAATAAATAGCATTAATTCAATAATAAATAAAGAACCCTCAAATGGTTCTAAATAGAACCATGTAACTTGAATTCAAAGAACCATTTGGGGTTCTATTTAATGAACCCTTAAAATGGTTCTATTTAGAACCTTTTTGGGGTTCCAAATATGAAGCGCTTGATAGAACCATTTTTGGTTCTATATAGAACCGTTTCTTTTAAGAGTGTAGATACTTTACTGAGTCTTTAACTGGAATACCTTCAATTATTTTGTCCTCACATTTATGCAAAGACATTATTTCACATTTACATAAGTTTTAGTCCAGATGCACATGAAAAAAGTTGAACTATCTGAGTGGCTTTAGAAACCTAATTTTTATCTCTTAAAAAAAGCATGGTGTCATCTGCTAGTTGAGAGATTTTGATCTCCCTGTTAAAAATGGAAATACCTTTTAAATCCTGGTTATGCATAATACTCAGTGATAATAATTCAGTAACCAAAATAAATAAAAGTGGGGAGATTGGACATCCCTGTCTGACACCGCGTTTTATAGAAAATCTTTGTGAGGTGAACATTAAATATGACGGAACTGGTGATCCCTGTATAAAACATTTCAATTATATAAATAAAAGAGGAACCAAAACCAAATTGTTTGAGAGACTGCAGAAGAAACTCATGTTCAACAGTGTCGAAGGCCTTATAGAAGTCAAGAAAAAGTATAAGATAGCTTTAAAATTTACAAAGTCAGCATAATCCACCAAATCTAAAATAAGTCTAATGTTATTACTAATGTGCCAAGAAAACCTGACTGTGTTTCTCCTATAATATTATTGATCTTAACTTTTAATCTATTCGCGAAAACCAAGGCCAATATTTTATAATCCACTGTAAGAAGCGTAATAGGCCTCCAATTATCTATTAACAGAGAGTCTTTCCCGGATTTTGGAACTAGAGAAATAATGCCCTGTTTCATCGATAAAGTCATTTCTCTCTGAATGATGCATTCTTGATACATGCAGAGCAAAGGGGACTGTATTAGGTCCCAGAAATAAATATAAAATTCAACCGAAAAACCATCAACGCCAGGGGACTTGTTTTTCTTCATGGAGAATAATGCAGATTTAATTTCCCCCAGTGTCAAGGTGGCATCGCAAATATCTTTAAAATCATTATCAATAGGGGAAATGTGATTTTTAATTGTTTTAAAGAAATTTTCACAACTATCTTAAATTCAGAAGTATAAAGATTACTATAGAAAGTAGAAACAAAAATAGAAATTATTTTTGGATCTGTACATCTGGCATCATCAATATTGAGTGCTGTTAATGAGTTTCTCCTGGAGTTTCTCTTCTCTAAAGCAAAAAAATAATTGGAGTTAGTATCTACTTCCTCAAGCCATTTTGCCCTCGATCTAACAAACACCCCTTTAGCCAAGTCCAAATAAGCCTGATTAATTTGAATATTCAATTCCCTTAAATGCAATTCTTCTTCTGGAGTTAGCATTTTTAACAATAAAGTGTTCATTTCATTCAAGAGATGACATATTTTAATGTTTTAGATGCTTTCAGCTCTTTGCTTCTTCGAATAGCACACTGTTAAAAATTGTCCCGTTAAAAAATGGTAAAATACTGGCAGCTGCAGTTGCCAGCAATGTACTGTTATTTTACAGTATGTTGCTGTAAAAATACATGGACTACATTGAAATTCACAACACTCAAGTGAACTTATTTTGTTTACTGAAAGCAACTGCCTCAAATTTGCCAACTGCTGTATGAGTTTATGAAGTAATGTGCTATAGAAGCATGCTTATAATGATAACTTATTTTAGTTACTTAGAAAAGTTCTGTTTGACTCAAATGTCTTAAATTTCACATCAGCACACATACATGTAAAGTTGGAATTAACACAGAGAGATTCTGACTGCATCAGCAACTAAACAGCCACTGTCTTTAAATAAAGAAACATACAGAATAACATCAGCAGTTCATGTTTAACTCATACACTGGCTCTACTCTCCTCCACAACGGTGACACACAGAAGAAATTAGCTTCAGGTTTTACAGTAAAATACTGTTTTTTCCTTGATTTAACGGTAAACTACTGGCAGCTGTGGTTGCCAGCAATCTACTGTTTTTTTACAGTGTACTTCCGTAGTTTAAATTAACAGTATATTCCTGTTAAAATACATTTTTACACTGTGTTTTTAACTCCATACATTTAACCCTTTAAACCACAGAGCAAATACTCCAGATTTAATTGAAGTGTCCACACTACTGAGTGTTCAAGAAACATGTAGCAAAGCTGAAGTAAATGAATTAATAAAATGACTAATTAAAAGATAATCAAGGATTAGCGATGAACAAATGAAGAAATACTGAAGGGAAAAAACAAGAACAGAACATACAAAACTACAACTTTAGTCACAGCTTTATAATGAAATAACCTGAAGGTCAACAAATGATTAAATAATTTAAATGATCAGTGGATGATTAAGCAACTCTACAAACATCATCACCAGCTACACTTATTACTTAATACATTTATTTTTGTATAACATTTACTAAAGTTCTTCTTGAGAAAAAAAGTTAAAGTTTGAAGTCACCATCATGGAGAACAGAGTTTGCTTTAGTTGAGCTCTCAGCCCTGACATTTTTATCAATAATATATCTTGGCTACTGCAATTGTTAAGAACTTTGTTTAAAAAGCTCTTTTGATGTGGTAAGCAAGCCAAAAACCTAAATAAGGTCTGGTGATGTTCATGTTGCTATTGAACGGCAGAGTCTGTTCTAATTTAATATAATTTAATTTACTGCTCCTGTTCAATATTACATCTATTGTTTCACATTTTAGGTCTATATGTGGCAATTATTTCTGGAAGTTTTAAGAATATCTTGGACAAAATCACTTTGCTCTATGATGTAAGTTGCACTCAAACAGACGTCAGTAATCGGCGTATGAACCTCAATAATGGTGACAATTAACAGTTTAACTCACAAACAGGCAACTGAAAGTCTAAACATAAACAAAAGCAGAATCAAACACAAAT